AGGGAGGACGGTTAGGGTTAGGGTGAGGGGTAGGGTTAGGGATATGGTTATAGATGGGGTTAGGGATGATGGTTAGGGATAGGGTTGGGGTTAGGGGTAGGGTTGGGGATAGGGTTAGGGATGATGGTTAGGGATAGGGTTGGGGTTTGGGATAGGGTTAGGGTAAAGGATAGTAAGGCGAGGGATATTGTTGGCGTTAGGGTTAGGGTTAGGGATGGTGGTTAGGGTTTAATAGGGTAAGGGTTAGAGATATGGTAAGGGATAGGGTTAGGGATGATGGTTAGGGATAGGGTTAGGGTTAGAGATAGGGTTAGAGATAGGGTTAGTGTTAAGGACAGTAGGGTGAGGTATATTGTTGGCGTTAGGGTTAGGGTTAGGGTTAGGGATGATGGTTAGGGTTAGGGTTAGAGATAGGGTTAGGGTTAGGGATAGAGTTAAGGATGATGGTTAGGGATAGGGTTAGGGTTTGAGATAGTGTTAGAGATAGGGTTAGGGTAAGGGACAGTAAGGCGAGGGATATTGTTGGCGTTAGGGTAGGGTTAGGGATATGGTTATAGATAGGGTTAGGGATGATGGTTAGGGATAGGGTTGGGGTTAGGGTTAGGGTTAGGGAGGATGGTTAGGGTTAGGGTGAGGGGTAGGGTTAGGGATATGGTTATAGATAGGGTTAGGGATGATGGTTAGGGATAGGGTTGGGGTTAGGGGTAGGGTTGTGGATAGGGATGATGGTTAGGGTTTGAGATAGTTTTAGGGTAAAGGACAGTAAGGCGAGGGATATTGTTGGCGTTAGGGTTAGGGTTAGGGATGGTGGTTAGGGTTTAATAGGGTAAGTGTGAGGGGTAGGGATAGGGTTAGGGTTAGAGATAGGGTTAGTGTTAGGGACAGTAGGGTGAGGGATATTGTTGGCGTTTGGGTTAGGATAGTGCGAGTGGGTTATGGTTAGGGTTAGAAATAGGGTTAGGGTTAGGGATAGGGTGAGGGTTTGAGATAGGGTTAGGGTATGGGACAGTAGGGAGAGGGATATTGTTGGCGTTAGGGTTAGGGTTTTGAGATTAGGATAGTGCGAGTGTTGGAAATAGGGTTAGAGAAAGAGATATTTTGAGCTATATATTTACATCAACATTTGACACAGTTGAATATAAGAAATATGTTAGAAAAATGACAGGAACAGTGCTCGCTTTTCAAGTACATAAGGAAGTTGCTGTAAAGAGGCTCGCTTCACAGGGCAAGGTATCTGAAGAAATAAACCACGTATCAGATCCACCACAAAACATAACATGTAATTTAGCAGAACTGTTCGATTCCCGATTCACTTTCCCCGGGAAAAAAATGGCCTGCATGATACCATTGAGGGTGCATTCCGCGAAATGATTGTATTTCTGCGCGCCAGCTCATGAATATATTTTGTGATCCCACGGGTTCTTACAGTGAGACATACCATAATCAGGAGGAATTACAGAAACAATTCCATAAATCCCGACTTTGGGACTGGTAGTTTACAGTTTGAATTATTTCTTTCGCAAAAGCCCTAAATTGCAGGCCTAGTTGGATAGAGGCGGACGGCGACAACCAGAGCTGGGCGAATAGATTTACTATTTTGGAGGTATCTTAGGATAAAGGCGAATAAAAACTAATCGTGGCTAAAACCCATAACACTGAAAGGAAAAGTGATCTGCTGGCCATAATCTTCAATTTCCGGTGAAAAAAAGAGACAAACCTCCTCCAAGAGTCAACAGGCGGCGCGTTTTCGCTCTTATTTTTTACTGCTTTCTATGGGCGCGTATTATGGTGTAGTGCAACCTGCGAGAGTTCAGGGGTGCACCACTACAAATAAATTCCCATAGACAGCAATGATAAACACCCACACTTCACAATTATAAAATACAACTCTCACAGGTGTCCAGGCTGCACAGAAAAAGGATGATCGACATGTCCCCTTTCATTTTCCTTTTTGATTTTCGGGGGGGGGAGGTTGACCAATGAATTTTTGAGAAATTTTCACCAGAAGCAGACCACCCCTAAAATGAAGAAAATGTCCCTGCCCAGAAAAGTGGCCCTTTTGAAAAACCATCCCTCTGAGAAACGGCCAAATAGTGCCACTTTCGGATCAAACTGCATCCAAATTGCTCAGAATTGCAAGCCCAAAGTCCAGGCCGGATGTTCAGTGCCATATTTCCCCAATTCCTCAATTTCATGATGGCTCTCAGGACTCTCTAATATAGAATATTTTCAGTGTATAACTTTTATTAATTAGCTCGGGGGACAAATTTGAGTTTTTTTTCAAGGGTGCACCATCAGACGTGTCCGGACGTACGTGTAATCACTCAGTCTTTGCAGAGCACATTCTGCGCGGTATAACTTGGGTAATGGTTTTGTTATCTACGTAAATATGAACGGCCAAAAGCAATTCTCTGAAGTTGCCAAGTAGTTAAGATCGTATGTTTCAGATCGTCAGATGGCGGGTTGGAACCCCACAGGTGCCTTTTATTTTCCCAAAGCTTGCTGTCACTCAGTAGCTATAAGAGACTCTAATTCACCACGCCAAATACCAACACTACCTTAGCCCACGGGTTTCGCTCTTCTGTTGGGACTGTCCGCGACGTCCAGGTGAGCGCCTTAGTACAGATTCGAGACGTATGGCCGACTCGGTGGCCAGGGCTTCAGGGGCTTGTCTGGTTTCCTCCCTTGCATGGTCGCTTGAACCTTTTTTGGGGTTAAATGGATGGGCAGGGAGGAAGTGTGGTGGGCTGGGAACCCCGAGATCCCAGAAGAGTCCTATGTGGAAGCCGGTAACTGCGATTCCTTGCGAATTTCAGGAGTCCGTGCGCCTGAATGCTTGGTCAACACTACATAACTTTTAGATTTTTCCCTCACCTATTTCTTTTTTTTTTCTTTTTTTTTTATTTCCTGAGCGCAAAATTCCCAAGGCAATTTTCTAGGTTGAATACATGGATTTTTAAAATCTATAATCTAAATTTGCAACTTTTTATTTCAATGACAGCTGCAATTAATCTGTTTTCATGTAAACCCTCAAAACGCACCTTTCTGTCTCAGTTCACCTCGCTGTCAACTTTTGTTTCACTGTTTTCAAAGGGTGCTTTAAAGAAGTTCTCATTCAAAATGTACTTTCTTTGTTGCCTTTGGCAAGTGTTCGGCGGAGCGGTGATGCACTCGGCCGGCACTGGTCGGTGGTGCAGTGGTGGATCACATTATTGTGTGACACGAAGTGTACGTTATAAAGTGCAGACTGGTTTAGATGAAAATATGGCAACTACCGATGTTCCTGCCGCTACAAGCTCAGTCATGTCTGTCGAAACAAATGGAACGATGAAATCTATTTTGGGTAAATCTTTTGTCACCTTTCGGTGTAATTGTTAATTATTTGGTTTATGTTGTCCATAAGTGCAATAATGTTTTGATAGATGATAACTTTGGTGGAATTTTCTTCAATGCATAATTTGTGAAAATCATAATGAGATGTTTTGGTCCGTTGGTTGGTTTCTCACGATTGCGAATTGATTACCGGCGGGTACCAGTGACCCGCTCCTACTTTCCTTGATCTATATCTATGCCTACACTAGACCCGTAAACATAGCCTGACGAATACTCCTCCGGGGTCATGCTATTTAGCGTCAACGAGATCTTCAAGCATTTTTATGCCAATATTTTATATTTACAATATTAGTAAGGCTCCTACATATCATATTCAATGTATCTCGTTATTGAAAATGATATTTGATTTTGAGGGTGGAAATTCGAGCGACAAAATTCGGGAGATATATATGCAACCATACCGGTACCTATGAAGCCAAGCCACGGTGGTTGTGTTTATATTGCGCATACCCAAAGTGTTGCTTGAGCATCTAGATGTCATGCATTGTGCACGGTTGTGAACCGTGGTTTGGCTTCATACGTGTGGTTGCATAAATAGCTCAATTCGGGCCTGCTCATGCAGCCCAACCAGCCAACATCTTGTTTTCGCGTGGACGGTACAGCAAAGAAAGATGGCGGCCTCCATGGGCCTACATCGCAAAAAAGTTTCATTTTTCTGTGTGAATCTGGAAGCCAATTCGATGTTTCTCTTACACAGTGGAAGGTCTTAGAGACTCTAAATTATGATAAAACCACTTGTAAATCTTTAGAGGGTACTTTCGAGTTGTTTGCGCTTTGTTGACGCTAGTTGTACATGTATGTGTTGACGCTTGTCGACGCTATAAGTTATAAATAACATGACCGCTCTCCCATCGTATACTGGGTCCTGTCCCAACTCATAGGGATTTCTTTCGAAAAGATTTACCCGGTGGCATAACTAAACGGTATAAGCCTTATCACCAGTACTGGGTAATTTTGCACAATGTTCAAAGGCTGTGTTCGAAATCACCTACATGTACTACACGTAGTATACGGTATTAGTGATAGAGTTCATAGGCCTAATAGCTCATATCCCCAAATCAAAATCCTCAGATTTCACTTCCAAAACATACAACCAGGGTTCTAGCCGCGGTGGGCGGTGCTGGGCGGCACCACCCGGTACTGCAAATTTCCACCCGGCACTCGGGGTTAACTTGTAATTGGCCTGTGCCACCCAGCATGGATTTTCCAAAAAATGATCTGAAATATTGCTGAAAATTTAAATGTACCAATTTGATCGTATTTCAAGCATCAGAAAGCATTAAGAACTGCACTCGCTGTGCTTTGTAATCCAAAAATTTACCCGGCACTAAAATGGTCCTAGCTAGAACACTACATACAGCTGTCATGACTGTCCAATGTACCCATGGACAGATAAATCACCATATGGTTTAACAGTCCAATAACCTTTGTATTGAAAGATTAGTTCATTAGAGATTTTAAGTTTGAAGTTAACCGTTACCAAATTCAGGATGTTACCAGTGGTTGCTCCAAGCCTGAATCATTTTATATACATATATCTAAGTACAGTACTTCCCATGTACAGTGCATTGAGTACATGTACACACATGTATATGTATGTCCCTTGCTCTTTGACGGCTCGCACTGCGAATAGTGGCAACACCACAAACTAGGGTCGCAATCAAAACTTGGACTGTAAACACTGGTTCCCATTGGGTTCGGGGCCATGCCGTGTGTGCTTTACACTGTACAAAGGCACTGGGTACATGTACAATGTACATGTACATGGATGCTCAATGCCAAGTGTTACTTTGTATAGCCAGCTGTGTATCGAGCAGGGTACTGGTACATGTAAGTTGAGGGGGGAAGAGTCTTGGAAATCGAGAGACTTAATAAGAACAAACGTGCCTTCTCAATGCTGGTAATTGACTCAGTATCTCTGTAAGCACCAACAAGCACTCAGTGGGTAATCCCAAAGGTGTTGGACAAGTACACTTATGTACATCATAATACATACATGTACTTGTACGTGTATGTAAATGTTTAAAATAACACATACATGTATGAAGCCTTGAGCAAGTTCAAGCATCAACTGTAGTTAACTATGGTCGGACTAACACTGCCCGAACGCCCGATGGTTCGGATTATCTAGTGGACCATTTGGGACCAGGCCCAGGGGTATGGTCCCACCACTGGTTATCAGTAGCCTATTTCATTTATCATTACACTGGGAACCATTCACATGAAAATAAATTGTATAAGATTTCAATTAGTATTATTGTTCTTATATTTATTTATATTCTATTAGTTCTATCAGCACTGGTTCGCATGTGAACTTATGTACTGATGTGTTGATTTGTTGAAGGGTCAGAGATGAGCGCCAATGGCAGCGAAGAACATGAAGAGGTTCTGTCCTCTCTCATGGCCAAGCTGAAAACCACCAGCGAGCAGATCAAGGTGTGGTCAGAGACCAGTCGCAAGCTAAGAGCAGCCATGGTGAGTGGTCATGATGTCGGTCAGAGCTGGTCCAATTATTGGTCAGTGATTTCTGTTTTGAACCTGATGACAGGTTGTGCATGTGGTGTAGAACTACCCCTCCTTTGGTTTTACAGCACAAATATGCACAAGTGCCCGAGGTCACTCTCTTGCAAGTTGGTGCAGTGCACAACACGACACAGCTGTGCTTCTTTGAGCTGTTTACTAACTGACCCAAAGAGTGACTTCAGCATAGGAGGGTTACTAATGAAGAAAAAAAAAAAAAAGCTTGATCCTAATTCCAGAAATCTACTGATTTAGCCTACTAGAAAGATTATTGTATAAATGCATTGTTTCCTGTTGGAAAACTCCCACTTTAAAATGTACACATCATTGTGGAAAAAGTTACTCTAGCTACTAGTACCTGTGAAATGTACCAGTACGTATTGTACAGGTACATAGAGGTGACCTGGGCCGGCCAGTACTTGGAGACGTACATGTACAGGGCAGCACGGACATCAGGGATTCTTGTAAAATGGCAGGTACCACGCCAATGAAAACAGCGACTATGGCAATGTACACACTTACCAGCCAATCCAAGGATCGGGTTACATAATCTTTTCTTTAATCAGTGCGTACACACGCGCTCGTTACCGTTGTTTTCACCTGCGCGGTGTGGTTGCTACCTGAAATTTTGTGAAACTCCCAGATTTCCGCGCTGCCCCTGTACAATGTAAATGCATACGTAGCTATCCACCTGATGCAGATTTGTATCATGTACAGTTGTACATGTGGAACTGGTACATCTATGGAATAGGTTCTTTAGCTTAAGATCGCATGCTGTGGACTTTCATATTTGGCCAAATTCACTTGCTGCATGATTACAAGTGAACATTTATCACCTTTACATGTTAATGTAAGGTACGCTTGTTTGCATAATACATTGTATATCGAAGCAAGACAAATATATGTGAGTCCAGTTGTAATTTCATACACTGTACCTTCCCCAACACCCCAAATAATGAAATTCTGACCTGGCAAGGTTGATTTATACCATTTCCCATCAGTGAGACTTTTTAATCATTTCAGTTAATCAACCTAATCGAAGTGTCTCACAAGGTTTACATTTTAAACTTTTCTGTGGCTAGCATGTTTTGATCATATTTTACATGTGTGTACATGTATTGTACATTACATCATACAAATATGTGTATACATCTTGTAATTAATGTTGAGTTTGTTCACAGTACATGTACTTACATGTAATGTATGCTGCCCAGCTAACCGCTTCTTCTATCATGTCTGCATGTGACTGAAATGTTGGTTAACCATTTGAATGGCATGCAGATGTTTTCACTGCTTATCAGTTGAGATGTACACACAGGTACATTTCCAACCTTTAGAATCACGATACTCCATTAGTCAAACTGTAATTTATGCTTACACACATGTACACAATGTTCTGTGTCTCCAGGCAAAACTATCCGAACCAGATGCGGTGGATCCAAACAGGTTGCAGAAATGTCTGGATAAGTTAAAAATGGCCATCAAAGGTATGTTCTCTTATTTCTCGTAACCTGTCTTGTACTGTGTGTATTATTGACCAATCAAGCGACCCGACGGCATGTACATGTACATACGTGTACATGTACAGTACATGAATATGTAGAAGCCATTATCACAATGGTGGTGCACTTGCATACAGATTGCGCATGCACAATACAGTACAGTCTGTCTACATGTACATGTAAGTGCTCACTTACCTCAAGCTTTAAAAATGTTTATAATGTGCTCATGTATGATTGTGATGGCACCACATTTATACATCTCTTTGGATTACACATGTACTTGTCTAAATGTACATGTACGTTCGCATACAGTGCTACTCTCTGCAGACAGTTTATGTGTAAGGTCAGTGAATTAACGCAATGTTCCTCAGACCATAAATATGTGCAGAAGAAATATTCTAATTGTGATGGTTTGCAGCACCATGATGCCAGGACCTTCCCTGAGATAAATTATCCTCAGTTTTACCAAATAGATTAGTTTTCTTCCTCGCATGCATTGGAAAATCATCAAATCAGAACTGTGTCAGATGGGGTTTTCACATCCAGTGTTGTGTTTGATGTACGTGATGTGAAGATGGCACACGTATATTTACATCAATTCCAGTTTTAGGAACATAGATCTTATAGACTGTTTTTATGTTCAGTCTCATCTTTACCAGCTATGACGGAGAGGTTAGAGACTATGGCAAGACAAGTTGGGTGAGTCATTGATTTTAACTTTTCACTGTCTGACTCTTAATGATAATAAGTATTTATGTATTGTTATTTCAAATTCCTAGCATTGTAAAGAAGAAAAAAGAGTAAACTGGGTGATGAGAACAACAGGAGAAGCAATTTTTAACGTAACGAGTACTGGAAAACAAAAACAACCATACATGTAGGTTTTAAAAGGAGGATCTTTAAGGGGTGCTTAAAAATCAACAAGGTCTTTGCCTCTCTCAAGTCAACTGGAAGTTCATTTTCAAAGCCGAGGGGCTGCACCCGTGAAAGAAATGCTGAAAAAAATTCAGTCATTGAATCTTGCAAAGACGAGTGGCAATTGTGAGACTTCAGATCACAAAAAAAATAAACAAACAGCCTCTCAACCCATTTGGTCTGTTGAACTTTTCCCCTGTGACCCCGCAGGTTGAAGTTCAACTCTAACATGGGTGGCACTGATGTCTTCATCAGCTCAGACACCTTCTATGTGGAGGTCTTGCTCACCATGAACGGAGGAGTAAAAGACGTCATGGTGGCCCACCACAGGGAACCAGTGGTAAGATCATCGTCACCTGTCTTGTTTTCCAAGTACATCTTAGTGCCTCTTCTCACACAGTCAAAGCCAAACTAGCTGAAAAAGTCATGGTGACTTTTTTGTGGTTTTCTGAAAAGGAATTAAAGTAGCGTTGATAACAGTTTCAGTCTAACACGGTACTTGATTCTGCATCAGTCAGGTACCTCCGGAACCTTGTCGTCTTGGAAAAACTTTTCCATTACACGACTTTCCTGTATAAACTGGTTTAATGTGTGCTATTCTGGCTTGGTAGACTCTCTGTCCCTTCCTTGCAGTGTAGCATATTTATAGAACCAAGAATTATAACTGTCTCTTAAACATGTGCCCTTCATAATGACACC